AGGTGTTTCTCACGAAGAATCAGTATCCCTCACAGTTCGTTACTTGGATGTCCAGAATTTCGAAATAAAATAGTCATTCCTTGGTTACTTTGAAATTGTGATGCCAGATGCAAAACATTATGAAGAACTTGTTCTGAAAACTCTTAAAAACATTGGACTGGACTTTGATCTGTGCAGAGGTCAAACCTATGATAACGCAGCCACAATGAGTGGCCGTCTGTCTGGCCTGCAGAAATCCAAAGGCAACATTTCTGAACTGTGATAATCCCTCTCTCAACCTGGCAGCTCTACATTCTGCTGAGATAGATTCAGCAATTGTCACTTTTTTTGGAACTGTACATGATTTTTTTTTTTTTTCAATTCACCCCAGAGATGAGCCAAACTGAACGAAGCAAGGTAGTACAAGGTGGCCCTCAAGAGAAGAAGTTACGTCGTCAGTTTCCTTGCATCTTGACAAAATCATCAAGCTTTTGGAGAGACTTTCTGAAGCAACAACTGAAAGAATGGACACTAGAAGTAGTGCACAGAATCTTCTTCATGCAGTGGAAAATAATGCATTTTTTGCGCCCAATCAGTATAGTTCAAAAGAAACTACAAAAGTCTGGACTGCACATACTGGAAGCTGCTGAAGAGATTAAGACCCTTTCATGTTTTCTGCAAAATGATAAGAAACGGACGAAACTGATCACCGAATCCATCGAAAGAGCAAAAGAAGGTAGTGAATGCTATGGATTTCCTGTAAGCAAAACAACCATGCAGAAGAAAAAACAGACTTGATGGGGAGTTGAGTTCTGATGCAGGACTGTCCATAGAACTGCAATTCAAACGTGTTGCGACAGAAGTTATGGACATACTTCATTTGGAGATGAAGTATCATGAAGGACAGATTCCAAAGGCTGGAAAACCATGTGGACACCTTTGGGTTTCTTCTTGAACCAAGACACCTGTTGGAGTCTATGGATGATGACACGCTGACGAAAAACTGTGTTACTTTTCCTGTTTGTATGATGAAATACAAGCAAATCGCTTGTTCAATGATGTCATTGATGCACGAGCACTTTTCATCAACAAACCAGTACCACAATCACCAATTGACATATTGAATAAGCTGGCTTCATATGGTAATGATGTGGGCTCAAACCTGGCAACCGCCATTCGAATAGTACTAACTCAGGCCACTTCCATTGCATCATGTGAGAGATCATTCTCAAAACTCAAGTTAATCAAAAACTATCTCAGGAGCACAATGACGCAAGAAAGACTTAGCAGCATGGCTTTGATCTAGATGATGTTGTAGATGCCTTTGCTGCACAGAAAGCACGACGTGAGGCGATATGAATTGAGATTTGTCACTTGTGCATTATTTCGTCTATAAACAACGGTATTATTATTATTCATTAAAAGAGTCTTAATGATTTTTTTTTTTTTTTACATTTTACTGATAAACTGTACCTATTTGAATTTAGACTTATATATTTATTAAGTACATTATCTCATGTCATAATGTCGAATGTCAAAATGCAAGGGCCCCTAAATAGGCCAAGCCCCCCGGGCCCCCAAATCCCTATCTACGCCACTGATTGCAGTCCGAATTAATCAAATTTCAATGACGGTTAATTAATCATCCTAGCCCAATGCATGCAATCCTAAAGCTAATGAAACAACCTTAAATCACCTCAGCCTTAGTCCATTATTGTAAAGAGAACTTCATCCATACTTTACTTTATGAATGACTACTAAACATGACATTAGCTTATCAGTCACCTAATAAAACGATGAGGATATCGTTGATAAAAACGTGACAAATCATTGCAGAATAATAATAATAATACCAAAAAAAAAAACATTTTATTTGAATCATGATTGCATTGTATTGGTACAGAAAGTATAAATAAAATTACAAGGGGTGAGGGAGAGAATGAATTTAATATTCCTTTCACACTTAATCTATAAAAATGTAAGGTTATCCAAGCAATACTTGGGATTAAAATTATATTTGATGATGGCAAATATTGCTTAGGATTTAAAAAGCATGCTTTTTTTAACTATTAATTTGAAATTATCAGAAAAGTTGAGTTCAGAAAAAGTAATATTAAGAAACATCCTGCAGTAGGCTTAATTTATCATAGAGAAAGTAAGTAGGCCCTACACAATTTTAAAATTTGGATGAATTGTGAATTATCTCCTGCAATGGTATATTTTGCAAGTCATTGCACAAAAGTTTAAAGAGACATCTAGTGCTTATAAAATTATTTACCCAGAAAAAAATAGAATCACTGACACATTCCTACAACTTGCGTAACTGATTAACAGGCTAGGAAGTTACCAAAACAAAAATTTCTTCTAATAATTTTATAATTCTGCAACTTTAAAATAAAAATGCAATCATAACCGCATTACAATAAGAGAGCTTACATGCATTACTAAATCATTTGGGTAAAATGTGAAAGACAAAGTTGAACAATTATTATTTTACAACTAACCAGCATTCAGACAGAAATTCTACAATGTCATGATAATGCTAGATTTGAAAGTTGAATGTTAAATAATCATTGTGCTTTAATAAAAGTGTAGGTCACTTTTTGGACAATGGAATCACTTAAACAGAGAACTGTGCTGGTTTTTTAACTATATAACCACATGATGATATTCAATTACCCACCAGTTTTTATATTTACATACTTCAAATTGTCATGATGTAAATATGAAAAATGATGGGAAATTAAATTAGGAAAAATTAGGTAATTAGTTGATACCATTAATGATTCCATTATGGAGATATTGAAGAAATCAGCACCCTTTGTTTTGCCTGACTTGAAAAGCGAACAAACGGCAGTTAAACTGAGTGATTTTTTCTCTGAAAAAATTGAAACAATCAGAAGGAGCTTTAGGGAACGTTGTGATTTGTCTACGGTGGAGAAAGTCTTTGAAGGCAACCACCTGGTGGAATTTTCCCCAGTTTCCCATGAACAATTAAGAAATATAATCATGGCATCTAGACCTACATCTTCTATTTTTGACCCCATCCCAACCAAGATTGTTTTGGAATGTCTGGAAGTCTTGCTTCCTGTACTGGTCAACATCGTGAATATTAGCCTTCAGTCTGCTACAGTCCCACGTCTCTTCAAGACAGCGGTCGTTAAGTCTTCAGTCTGCTACAGTCCCACGTCTCTTCAAGACAGCAGTCGTTAAGACTCTGCTTAAAAAAAGAGGTCAGGACCCAAATAACTGCAAGAATTTTCACCCGGTCTCCAACCTGCCCTTTGTATCTCAGATTATTGAGAGAGTTGTGTCACAGAAGCTTGTGCAGCATCTAAACACTTATGACTTACTTGACAAGTTTCAATCTGCATATCGACCAGGGCACAGATGTGAGACAGCACTACTCCGTGTTATGAATGATGTTCTTTATAGTGCTGACCGTGGTGATCTGACAATTTTGGTTCTGTTGGATCTCGGTGCTGCCTTTGATGTGATCGAACATGAGCTTCTTCTGTCAAGACTTATGAATGTGGCAGACATTACTGGAACTGCACTTCGCTGGTTTTCTTCTTATCTGACTGACAGGACTCAGCGTATTGTGGTGAGGCAGGCATCTTCCATGGACACTTCCGTTACCTGTGGTGTGCCACAGGGCTCAGTTTTAGGACCTATTCTGTTCTCCATGTACACTAGCCAGCTCGGAAAAATTATTGAAAGTCATGGTATTTCCCGCAAAATATTTGCAGATGACACGGAACTATTTAAGTCTTTCCGCCCTGATCCATTGGAGTGTGCTACTGCTGTTCAGGCTGTCGAGGACTGCTGTCTTTATGTGAAAGATTGGATGTCATCAAACAGACTAAAATTAAATGATGATAAGACTGAGGCAATTATTTGTGGTTCAGATGCCAATCTTCGGAAAGTTACCATTTCATTGATAAAAGTTGGTGAATCAGAGATCCTGTTGTCCTCGACTGTCAGAGACCTTGGCTTTTATATTGACAGTAAACTTAGTATGATTACCCATATCAGTTCTGTTGTCAAGGCATGCTTCTGTCATCTGCGTGCCCTGGGTCAGCTGCGTCCTCAACTCAATAGGAGAACAGCCAATGCTGTAGCAGTAACTCTAATCCAGTCAAGATTAGATTACTGTAATAGTTGTTTGTGGGGTTTACCTCAGAACCAAATTCAGAGACTCCAAAAGATACAAAATAAAGTTGCACGCATTGTTTCGCGGATGAAAAAATCTGACCACATCACCCCAGTTCTACGAGATATCCATTGGGTTCCTGTGAGTGAGCGCATTAACTACAAAATTCTGTCCCTGGCGTACAGCTGCAGAGATGGCTCAGCACCGGAATATCTCAAGGAACTGATCTATAAATATGTATTCGTGAAGAGCCTGCGGTCTTCAACACAGTACTTGCTGAGTGTTCCTAGTGTGGATAAAGACAGAAAAAAGTCGTACGGAGTGCCCTCTTTAGAGGCGATAGCGCCAAAATTATGGAACAGTTTGCCACAATATTTGAAGGGAATTGTAAATGATAAAAAAATCATTTAAATTTAAGAAACAAAAACTTTTTTGTTTAAATAGATTTCGGAGGACCAGAGCGCAGTGAGCATGCTACAATGGCATGGATACCGGCTCAATATAAATATCAAATCAATCAATATTGGAGCAAACCCTTTTATGAATCTGTTGAAATATTTCACAGTCAACACTGTGGGGTTAATTTCGAACCTTATAAGTACTTGTAATAAACTCTTCATCCCCCCTAAATTAATATTCTCATGTCCAAACCACTTTTAGACCGAATATTTTTTTACACAATACTTAAATTGTTCATGTTTTGTCTAGTAACTTGAGTAGATGGGACGTTCACGCATTGCTGTCGCCAATGTTTGGCGGGCTATAACAAGTATAATATATTTTAATGTATACAACACAAATGAAATAAATATAATAATTAATGGTTCATTATAAATTCATTTTATTTGCATATTGTGTAACCGGTATTTGTATACCAGTATATATACATAAATTAAATAAAATCACAGGGAGAGAGCAGGTTTTAAATATAACATTCACACTAAATCTATTTTTTTTAATGTTAACCTAGGCAATGCTTCCATATTTAAAATTAAAATAACATTACAAAAGAATAAAATTATAAATGGCAAAGATTACAGTCTATGTAAGATTAAAAACACTCTCTTCAAATCATTTTAAAAGTAGATTCCACACAAAAATTAAATAACTTTGTCACAGTGCAAACATTTTGTATTTTATTTTAATATAAATAATTGATATTAGAAATAATTGGTTATTTAACTACCTCCTACAAAAAAAGTTAATAAATTAAAAAAATGGTCACTTGTTGCCTACTTCTTACTGATATTTAACAATAACAAGTCTTTTCACAAGACTTCACAGATACATATTATACTAGAAAATGTTTCTTAAATTAACTAAGAAGACTAAAATAGTAAATAATGTAATATTCTTACAACTTGAATGACAAATTAGAAAGCCATATAACAAAAATTTCATTTAATAAACTTTTAACACTGCAACCCAAACACTGTAATACAAATATACAGAAGTAGATACAATAAAAATCTCACAAAAAATATTTCTTACCACACAGTAATGTATAAAGATATAAAAAAGTTTTGTGGGGAAGTGTATCCATAAACGCAACAAGTAGACGTATTGGCAACTTGCGCCAGCTCTGTAATGATGCTCCCACCCTACATAAACCAAATTTACCAAGTTTTGGTGCCCTGGGGGTAAGCCTTTGGTCCCATCGTATTTCCCCCTAGATTCTATACAAAGACAAATATAGTCCAACTATTTTTACTATGATAAATGAAAGGGAAATAATATTTTTGCCAGTTAAGAAAAGAATTATATTATTATCTACTGTTTTCTTTGTATATACTGGTATACAAAGATGCCAGTAACAGGTAGTCAATGTTTGATACCGGTAATTAAAATAAGATACTTTTTAATTGCTCAAAATAAATTGAAATTTTTTTTAGTTACACTGTTCATATTAATTTTCAGCACACTGATAAATATTTTTAGCAAAAACTATTTCATAATAGTATTATAATTAGAGGCATTTATATTATCTGGAAGGTCGATTTAAATCAAGAAGGTTTCAAATATTTGAATTCAAACACTTTAACTAGATATGACTTAAATTTTCGGATCAACAAATATATCGACCGCCTAAATAGTTGGTTGCAGTATTGCACCTCATTTTAATCTGTGACATTTAGGCCTAATTCAGACCCGTTTACCCTCAAACTCTTAAAATCATACAATATCATCACAAAATCATTCAATACATTATCTTAAAAGCAAAAAATTAACATACAGTATATATAACGTATACACCTCAAAATTGTAAATTGTAAGCCAAAATCGTAAGAGTAAACAGGTCTGCTAATTATCAAACCCAAAGTAAAAATATCAGTTCTTTCCTCATCTGACATCAACTTGCAATTTTATAAGAGTATTTTTTTTGCCAGTTTAAGCCAGGAGCAAAAAGAGAAATGTTCATTACATTAAATAAAAACATTTACGAGGAGTTACAAAGCCAAATCAGAAGACACTATTCAAGATTAAATGAACCAATAAGCCTCAAATCCTACACATTTACATTTTTTATTAGTCTCATGATCTCAGCTGCCTCTGGTTAATCTCTGTGACCCACTCAGTCCTTCATGTCCAAGATAAGTTCAGCAAAAGTCACTTCTTCTCTCATGTTGAAAACCTGTTTTTCATTGATTATTTTGCATTAAATTGCTTTTGAAGTAGAGCAAGTAATGCTATAAATTGTTAACAGCAGAATTTCAATCTATAAGTGAAAGGATAAAAACATTTCTTTATTCCACTCATATATCATAAACAAATTATAATAGTTCCAATTACTCTTGAAGTTAAAGTGACACCCCCCCACCCCCACACACACACACACAACTTTTCCTCCCCTGATAACTACAGGTTAAATTGATAACCCGAAGTGTCTCAAGATGGGCATGTATAATGTCTATACATTTATATTTTATTATCTGTGAAGTAAGTTATGAGCCCAAGCCATTAATACAGGACGTACCGCTACCCAACTCTGTGAATGTTATTTAACCCACAAACTGTGGTCGGCCGAAAAAATATTTTCGTTCTGTACTGTGGCGGCTGATAAAAAAACATGGTCCGATAGCAACTTCCAATCCAATAATAAACCAGAATTATAGCTACTTCCTTTTATAAATAATTAAATCATCTTCCGGGTCAAGCTGTTTGTTGATAACTTAACAATAAGTACTTTTTAATGGAAATTTTATACTGCTGATTTTTTAAAAGCCAAAATGGCTGAAGCTATGGCTGGGCCTTCAGTAAGAGAAGTGATAGAAATATTTTTTAAAGCTTTTAAGGACAGGATTTAAGTGATACTGATGATGATTTTAACATTCCCCATGACGATTTCAGTTTGGATTCTAATTCATTCTAGTGAATCTGATACTAGTCTTAGTCCTAGCGATTAGTGATACTGAAGTAGGCCTACTGAGACTACTGTTAGACTTTGAGTCAGGCCCGGAGGTTGAACAAGGACTGACTGAATTTTAGTCACAGAAGCTACAGATAATAGATCAGAACTAATAAATTTTATAGTTAAACAACTCAAATCAGTTACACAGTTCCTTTTTGAATGTTTACTAGTGAATAATAACTTTTTTGCCTGAGATTTTGTATGTTGTGTTTGTTTTTAGCTGTGGTCCCAGTTAATTTTTTTCCAGTAATAAATGACCTACAATTACTATAATTGCTTTCATAGGCTTAATTGTATTCAAAACCTAAGCAAACTATACATTTTCTGAAAGATAAATAGAGTGGCTACCGGTACTACATTTGTATTAGCATTTTAATGGAATCTATAAAAAATTAATGATGTTATGAGCACTTAAAAGCAAGACAATTTGTCAAATTTTTTTCTTGAGCACCCCAAGGTCAAGGACACTGAACAAAATTTTTTTTTTACGGGTGGGCAATATAGCCAACTTTATCCCTATTCATTTACCTTTCTAAAAATATATACTTATTGGGGTCTTGTATCAATATTTCTATGTCATTTAATGCTATTTCTAAAGGCACTCAAAAAGCTCTGAAAAGTTAATATTATAGTTTTCATTCACACAGAAAAAAACCATAATTTTTATGTTCATTCAACTTTACAGATCTGAAATAGAACTTACCTACTAATCTGACCCCATATCCTGAATTTCAGCTATCCTACCAGAATTTGGTGGTGTGAGAGACCTATCACCACTCTCAGTTATGCCTCCAGTTTTATTTTTGCCAGGGTTTTGGCTCAATATTTCTGATGAATAAAAGGCATTAAAATCAGTGGTTACTGTCTGATTAGCCTATCCAAACAGGTTTCTGAAACAACGGACCGTAATAAGTACAAATAAGATAAAACATTCCTATAACTTAACTACAGTGCATATACAAAAAGTGATTTTTCTTTTCATTTATAGGAAGTTGCAAATCAATGCTTAATAGTTAGTTAAATAAGTAGCTAAGAAATAAAATAATTACAGAAAAAAAAATATATTCATCATTTTGCAGACTACCCCCCCCCCCCCCCCCCCCCTTTTTCCAGACCAATCCCATAATCTCTCAAACCTGCAAATTCATCCCAAACATTTCCCCAATCATACATTCTCTCATCTTTTCCCCACCTGATTGTCCATTCTCACAAACCCTCTTTCTTTACCTCTCTATGATGCCACTATGAAGTCCCTACTCTGGTCCTATTTAATAATGAGTATAACTTTTTATTATTACATTTACTGAAAGCCTACACCAGCGAAAAGCTTACTTTAAAGAATTAAAAAGAAAATGAACAAATACAATTGAGAATGTCCAAAAATATTTACTTCATTCTTTTAATTTCCTTCTAATACTTCAAGGAATGACATAGAAACACATTATACAGCAAATGTGACTAAATTATGCCTATTATGCTAAAGTAACACTGACATGAAATAATATATTTCCGTACAGCAACTAAGAAAGTAGCACATTATTTTGTTATGAATTTCCAGTTTAAAACAGTATAATATATTTTTTAACACAATGCTGCTTGACAGCACTGATTCATCTGAAATTAAAGCAAAGAGTTAAAACATAATGTGCCCCTTGTTGACAGCATTCAGAGAGACAGATTCTGGAAACTTTATGAATAGGAAGAGATTCTATTTGTAATACAGGTAACTCAACTTACTGTCAACACTTTTTCTAATTTCATCTGGTGCACCCTCTAAGAAGCAAACAATTATCTTAGTGTTTTCTTGAAAGGGGTCTTCCCCATTGGTGTTCTCCTTAGCACTGAAAAAATAAGAAAAATTTATTGTGAAACAGTAAATTCTAGAATGGCTTTCTTAGATATTATAAACCAGAATTTGAAATAAATTAACAAATTAAGCAGTTTATTTACTGGTAGATAAAATTTAAAAAAACAATAAAAGTATACATCCTCTGACCAATTAAAGCCAACATTTAAATTAAGGTACTTTGATTCCATAAGATACAAATTATAGTAATCAAACAATATGTAAGGGGTGCGAGACATAGGCAGTGCGAAAAAAGCGAAAGTTGGGAAAAACTGCTGTAAATGTAATTAAGTTTTTCCGTGAAATATAATGTAGGCCAAATTTTTTTTAAACAATATATTAAAACCATGATCTATTGACAGTGAATGAGCCAGACAACCACAAATACTATCAAAGTGGACAAAATCAGTAACTGGTGTATAAAGAGACTTTTTGCCTAGCGGTATTTTGAATTATAATAATTTTAATAATTACCAGTAGCATCCAGATGAAATGATGATAAATACTAAGAGTAACTAGTCAACATTATCAATTTAATTGATGAATTTCCCTCTTATTTTACTACCAGATTTATTTAATTGTTAATTCTTTTAAAAGTTACAGTATTAAAAAAGCGTAGCATATAAGAAACGCAACAAAAATAATATTGATGCTTCAGCTAATTTCTTAAATGAGTGACATCAATGTTAAAAGCATGAAATTATTGCTTTAATCTAAAAAGTAACACTCTTTAAAATACAGTTTTACCTTTTGGCTAGTTCAAGGCTGTCAAACTTCAGGATACCAAACTTTGTGCCACGCTGATTAACAACTTTCCCTTTCCACGGACTAAAGAATTTTTCCAATATATTTTTGAAATCTTTTGCTTTCTCTCCAGGTAACAGTTTGTAACCATGGACAATGAGAAATGGTTCACTTTCGGACTGAAAAAAAATGGATGACACTTATTTACTTTTTTTGCATTAACCCGAAATAAGATCTATCAAACTGTGGCTTGTTTATATCAAAATGCACACTAGAAACAACCCCACAACCAGATTTAATCAATCATTTATTGATCATAAAAATATCGCAAGAAAATATCAGTTCTTGAAAAGAACTTGACATATTAATAATTTAATCAAGTACTTATTTTAGATAAATAAGAGATGAAAAACTCTGATTGCTAACAACAGGTATGGCAAGTCGGTATTGAAAACAAAGTGCTAAAAAGGAAGGAAAAAAGGAGGAAAAACTGATCCATAACTAACTGAACTTTCCCGCAACTACTTTCCCGTACCATATAAGCGGACAGAAATATACAATTTCAATCATTTGTTTAAATACATTTCAATAACTAACTGGAAAACACTATTTCTCCCTCTCCCCTCAAAGTTTTTAAGTACAAAATGATATGCAGTAAAATGTCAATAATACGAACTAACACTAATTGTTTTTTCTTCCCCTTCCTGAATATTGACTTATCCAGATAATAAATCTGTATATAAACAAGAATTGTCACTTGGCTTGGTCAGTCATGACAGCGCTCATGAAAGTGTTTTTCTTATATTTTTTGGTCATGTTTAGTTTGGCGAATACTTTAACTTTAAATCACATAGTGATTCTGGCTCCACCTATTATATTTTTCTTGATAACTAGATGACACTTAGGGACCTAAATATGTGTTTTATTTATTTTTACTCCACCATTTATTTTATTTTGTTTATGTGTTGGCTATTTTTAAGTTTCCTTCGTAGAATTTAACACTGGGCAACTAGTTACAAGCAAGTTAGAAAAAGTATCAACTTTCTTTCTTGCCCTTGTTTCATTGTAATTTTTCTTTACAATCTTCTAGTATTCTGCAAGTCTGGAAAAATTTCTTTGACTCTGGCAATAAAACGATCAGAGTTGGCTAGAGAAATATTTCCTTCAATAAGAAAGGTGGTAAATGAAATGATCTGCTAACTGATCCGTCCGATTCCTTAGCAAAGAAATTAAACATAGATTACTTTTAGCTGCAGTTGCATGTTTTTTTTAGGGGGGTTAAAATAAGATAATTAATATCATTGTGCCCATCATTTTCAATCGATTTAACCAATTAAGAAAAGCTTTAACAGAAAAAAAGTCTGAGTTATTTTTTAGCTGTGTAAAAAGGATAAATCACAATCCGATCAATTGATGATTGAACAATGATTTGAAGATCGCGGTTTGCTTCTATAAAAACAAGGCAGTGTCTACACGTGCGGCAACTGGACAAATAGTGTGGGAGATATTCATATGGCAGACATGCAACTCTTTATAAAAAAACACTGTCCCTTTTTTAACCAATTGTTCATTACATATACCATCAATGGTTCTAGTGTTTCTTTTGCATTTCTTTTGAACATATGTCTTTTTCATGTAAATTTCCAGACTAGCTTGAATTTGTTGAAATGAAGTACTGTAAACTCTAATTGACAAATAGAGGTCATATGACAAGGCTGACAGACAAATATCTCAAGCAACTTTGTTACGGTAGTTATGTGGCTTGGTCGAATACTTAATAGCTGGACGAATATCTCGAGAAAATTCACTTATTCGCCTGGTCGCCAGACATGTATGCTTTTGTAAAAAAACAAATGCAACACTTCCTGTCTTACCCAATTTCTTTTTTTTTGTCGCTTTCGGATTTTTATGACGGGTGAAAAATTATAATGTTCCAAAAATAGGAATTTTAAGGGGTTTGTGGAAAGGTCAGAATGAAAGGTAAAAAAATCAGTATAATTCAAAAAAAATCGGAAGGGTTGGCATGTCTGCAAGTCCACTTTTTAAATATTTGACAATATTATAACGATGATTCCTAATAAACATTGTGCAGAACTGTTTACCCTCGAACTCCAAAAATCGTACATCATCTCAAAATTGTACAATTTGGTAACAAAATCGTACAGTACAGCATGTTAAAAGTAAATAAACACACATACAATACTCATGTGGAGTGGGATCGAGTTAAGTAAGCTGACATCAAAAAGGTAAAAGTACATGACTCACGCTTATATTGCTATCTGCTGCCACTTTGTTTTGCAGACGTGTATTTGGTAGAGATATTGTAAGGAAACCTTGCTTACTCTCTGCTAACCTTCATCTATATCTGGCATTCACTAAAGAACAACTCAGGCGATAACATTTGATGATTATAATCTTGCTCTTTATTAGGCTGACGCTTCGCTTATACTTTCTCTCATCTCACAACTCTGACTGCCCTCTTATCATTCCGTCCGAGTTCTCCCTGCTATCTGCTTCTCTGTCCGGCCGCGTCTACCCGTCCCGTCCAGAGGTCCCTATTTATAAGTCCCTGGTTCATAGAGTTCCCTTCCCAGGTCTGTACTTGCGCCGCCCCTTTTGCGCCAGGTTACCAACCAACCAGTCGTCCCAGGGAAATGCCCTGGTCAGATGGCCGGTACCGCCCCCGGCGCTTGATCCGTCGATCGTGATCCCTGGTCAGATGGCGCCGGCTGTACCTGGTCAGACGGCCGGTAATCCCTGGTCAGACGCCCCCGGCGCCGTTGTGATCCGAACTCTCCACAATCCCCGTCGCCGTCGTGGTCCGAACTCTCCACAATATTAATTTAAATTGAGTGAATGTGCACAACACATTACCACAGTCTGTTACTGGTTCAAATTAAAGTTACTGATAAAATTTAACGTGGTTCAAACTCAAAGTCAGATCAGCATAAAATAAAATTAATTGATATAAGAATTAATTAACAAATTTAAAAACCTTCCAAGTAACTTGAGATTTATAATTTAGGAAAACCTGGTTTAAAAAAAATATAAGAATCAATATTCATTAAGCATATTTCCCGCTAATATTATTATAGCCGGCTCACTATCACAAGCAGTAAATGGGTTAGGAGGAGGCAGAGGAGTGTTGGAACCAAACGGGGGTATTAAAAATCCTTAAGCTGTTTTGCGCATTCTAAAAAAAAGTAAAAAATAATTAGGACTTAGAACTTACTAATATTTCATGTTTATCCGGAAGTTCTTTAATTAGGTCTTCATAACTGCAACTTTCATTCACTGAATGCAGTAACTCTGGTTTGATGTTAACTCTGTGTAAAAGGATGACATGGCATCTCCTCTTTTTCAGATAAGCTAATGTTTGGCTGAAGTCTACATCACCTGTAAATATTTATTGTGTTTGGCTCTATTATATAATTTTCAATTCTAAAAAAAAAAATATGGAAACTTATTTTAATATATTCTTTTTGGCTATTGGAATGGCTTTAAAAATATTTTGAGTTATTTATTTTGGGGTTTATTGGCATGCTGTGACTTAAAAGTGTAAGAGAAAATAAGATTTTAAAAATTCAAAAGAATTTAATATTATTAAAACTTAAAATAAAAATTCAAGTCAAACAATGCCATCAAGAAAGTATTGGGTAATAATAACCCTTATTATCATAATTCAATACACCCCTTAAGCAAAAAAAAAAAAAAATTATTTGTTAAAATTAAATTCTTACTGCTTATAAGATTTAAAAATTCAAAATAATTTAATATTATTAAAACTTAAAATAAAAATTCAAGTCAAAAAATGCCATCAAGAAAGTATTGGGTAATAATAACCCTTATTATCATAATTCAATACACCCCTTAAGCAAAAAAAAAAAAAAATTATTTGTTAAAATTAAATTCTTACTGCTTATAAGAATAACTTTTGCTCTTGCAGCTCCGAAGTTTTCGTAAAATTCTCTCATCTTAGCGTCTATTATAATATCGGATGCATTTTTTTTGTCTGAACACATGTGTAGCAAGTCAACCTAAATTGAGGGGTAATGTGGTGCGTGGATTAAAAATAAATAACTGTTTGAATAGAAAAACAATACTTATGCACAGCAAAACTTGGAAGCAAAAGATAAACACAATCTGTTTAGCGAGTGAAAGTTGAAAATATTTTGAGTGGTCCTTTTTTTTCTTTTGATGTGTGTGTGCTTGATTTACCATTAGTAACAATCCAGACTTATGACTGAATGGTTTAATCAGGTCAGTGCAGATGAATTTTGTGCCCCAAACAAATCCAAAGTTTGAGGACCCACAAATTTCAAAGTACGTGTATCAAAATTTTGGTGAATTTGAGACAAAAGTTACTTCATTAGAGTAATCTTCTTACTTTCTTTTGGGCAAATTCATCAATGATATTTGAAAAATTAAGCTCTTCTTACTTTCTTTTGGGAAAATTCATCAATGATATTTGAAAAATTAAGCTATCTTGCCAAAAGAGAATCAATACTTCATATGGCCAGATCAATGAATTTTTCTTTAACCATGATTTGTGCATTAAAGAATAAATCAATTGGAGCTTATGAAATAACCGCTCTGCTGTGGCAAAAGTTACTGGAATTGAAGAGCCGCAAAAACATATTGCAATGATCACGTTTTCCCAAAATTTACAAAGCTTAAATTCTGGAAAAAGATGCTGCTGCAAAGTTTGCAGGATTAATTGTTTCTTATGCAAGCTTTCTTCCACCAGGTCAGTTTAGAAACATAGTTTTAGAGCATATTCTGGAAAAGACAGTGCAAGAAGTTCTAATTTCCGGTTCTGAAATGAGGAAATAATTTCACAAGTAGCTGAACATAACTGCAATCTCTTGAATTGCTGTGAAATGAGCTGTGACTTCAGCTATAGAAGAATCAATAATAGGGAAAAAAATGTTTATTATGAAATTGATTTCATCTTGTTCAGAGGTCATACAGGAATCACACAGAATATCCTCAACCTGATGACACCCGGAAATATTTGTGATCATTCCTTCTCAATTCATGTAAATTCAGGACTAAAGTTCGCTGATTTTTCTGAAAATTTGACCTGTTCTAGAAGGTCAACTCATTTGCAAAAAAAGTTTCAGTGCACAAATCAATGAATTAATTCATTATTTTCATTTCAATGTCAATAGTAGTCTTCAGGCTTGAAGATACTGTTTGCAGTAGTCAATCAGGGTTTGTACTTTCATCCCAACCTGTTGCCATGATGATACGTATGAAGGATGTAATATATTAAATAGCTCCCTTTACAAATGTATGTCTTTGGTCTTAGATTAAGATGAAAAACTTCCTTCAGGGGTTCAATTCCAGGCAAATGATTGTAGCAAGGTAGAACATTATCAGGTATTTCAGTCAAGTGAGTCCCAGAAAGTACATGAATAGAATTACCATTAATCATTTTATATAGTATATTCCAGCACTGTGGACTTGCTGAAAATATAGTGTACACTTTGAGCTACTACAAAAAATAAATCCACATAAATCCAATGAGTGACGTCCACATGGTGAGAAGACAGCCAAGTCTTTCATACTTTCCAACCATCTTTGCATCATGGTCATATCCCTGACCTAAGCTATCCAGAAGTGGAACTTTTAATACCGGTACTTCAAGAGTCTCAAGGGCCGATTCAACCACATCAGATTAACCTTTTGTTGAACATGCTGCAAAAATGACAAAATCTCTCCTCTATGGGAAAACTCTCAATTTTCAATTATTATATATTGGGTGTAGCATCAATCATGATTGAGAAATATTTGGTCGACACACGTACCGGTACATGCAAAAAAAAATTTACAAGCTGAAATAAAAAAACAGTACTGATACACAGTTGTGTATGGATGAGGATAAAAATATGCCCTTGAGGGCCCACTTTCAGACAGGCCCCTCAGTTTTTCACTCAGTTGCCTCAGCCTCTGCGCAACCCTGGCCTAAATGCTTACAAATTTTAATTTAGCATACATTCAATTAGTTATTAGTAAATGAGACAGAAATCTTACAGAAACCTATTTATTTTTCTTAATCAGTGATACATCTTAAGATGTTATTAGGAAAAAAATTATCTTTTAATAATGTAAGTACATTAGGAACTTATAACCGGTACATACCCCACAACTGGTAATAGCCTCTCTTGTCTTTTTATGCTCTTTAGTAACATCCGTTATGCAATAGAAACATTTTTCTACATTGTTTGCGTCCACTAAAATGTACTTTGCCCTTATGCGCTCGATTATATCTGCTGCAGATTTATTTCTGGGCACAGGACAATTTTGTAAATCCCAAAACACTCCAATTAATTCTTTCTCTGAAGACAATGTTTTGTTATAATTACAAACAACTTTAAAACATGTAAAGTTCATTTATTCATCAGTTAATTTATTCATTGTCTACAAGAATCAATTAAGAAAACATGACATCATAATTTTATCTCACCGAGATAGGGAAAAAAATCATTAGTAGGGTAATCAATACCGTTACGTAGTATTACATATTATTTAGTTATCACTTTACCCTGGATGGCATCTTTTTGTTTTGTCTCGATGATTCCGGATGACGGCCTGTCTAATATTGCTGGATTCATAATTTTGAACAATGGGAATATTCCGTCTCCATCTTTGTAGACTTTTTCTCTGTGGTCTTTAAACAAATTGTAATTATTTTCACCTTGAAACTTATTTTAAGCATTTAACTTTCAACTTTTTTGTTATTTATATGATGAAAATTTTAAAGAAATATTGGTGAGGCAGTCTCTCTGAAACACACTGCAAGAAACTCTCATGCATATGCATATAAATTTATAATTAATTTTTTGTTCTTTATTTATTTATTTATTTCTTAAAATTTTGTAGCCTGCTGTTATATTTCAGCTATTGAGCAAGTGCTCTGATCAGAAACTAGATCAGCCAGCCCAACAAGTCAGCTGAAAATAGCTTTGATGCTACATTATCAAATGCACTGGAAGTTTACCAGTATGCCGCAAGATGATGCCAGATGGGGGAGCGTCAAAATGGCTACAGTAGGATGAAATCCACAGATGATATTACAAGGGGCAAAAGTACTATTATACCCTGTACTGGGTAGTGTGTTAATATGAAGGGCTATGTTTAGCAATCCCAAAATGACCCAGTTTAATATCACAGAATTCTGAGTATGTGTAAATCTGGCAAATAAAATATAAGAACAAGGTATGCTAAACTTGAATTCATAGACAGGACAAAAGATGTGGACATTTCAGCTTAGTGGCTTCATCAACAAACAAGACAAAAAAGAAGTACCAGTAATTTTACACAGTTAATATGAAGGGATACAATGGCATCTGCATTTCATGAGAAAAAAAATACTTCTTAACAACTCTCCCTTTCGTGTTCAAAATAATTTCTGGAATGACTGGATGATGAAATTAAAGTTCCCCATCCTGGATTTGATCGGTTTTTTTTGTGTGTTTTACTCTACTTGAAAGGCTGATTGTGAACCCCAAGTTGCTCTTTTAGCACAGTATATTTTGAACCAAATATAAAATAGCTATATATAGATATATATTTATTTTTATGTTACAGTTATATTTTTATTTGAATGTGTACCGTACATAATTTTTTTGCTAATATTTTATTATTTTGATATTCAAGCTAATTTATGAATGATTTTGTTATTTTTTTGTGAGTATTATGAATGTTTACCATACTGGTATTATGTTATTTAGTACCGGTATAAACTATATAATTGCTGATGTTATTACTTAATACGTTACTTAAAGTAACTTATGGTCTAGGGTGTGCAGAGCATGAAAAATGTTTGTGGACCAGTGGTTTACGCTATTTGCAGGGTTAATGACACTGTTGAGTATAAGTATATAAACAATAATTTTATACAAGTATATTTTTTCTTTGACATAAAAACAAAGGATAAGTTATAGTATAGTTATAAAGATAACAAAGAAAACAAAAGTTTTACTAACTTGCAGGATATGTTGGCGGCCCATCTACCTCTGTGTCATCACCAAAGTAAATCTCTGTACCAGCTGTTTGACGTTTATCTACTGGATTTTTAAATGTAGCTGGTGTTGCAGCATCAGCATTTGAAACGTTATCACCAATGTCATCAAGCTTTTGCTTTGCTAATGTATCACATAGAGTGCGCTGTGCATTTTCCTCTATTGGTGGATCATGTGGTTTATCCTTTACAAATAAACTTTCAGATTCTTCTACTGACTGTTCATTTAACAATGTTTCTTTTAGTAAGTAATATTTTTTTAAATCTATGAGTTCTGTTTCATGTTCATCAAAATATCTTTCCCTGTCCAATTGTAACTGACGATCTTTTATAATAAGTTTGTTCGTCCAGTGTTCAAAAAGATTATTGATTGAAAGTGAGAATTTATCCTTAGACTCAAAATATCTAATAGGCGTCAAACCTCGATAATTGATATTTAGATATTTTTTATCTTTGTTTGAACAGGGATAGACAGGAATAATACTCCAATTCTTATCCTTATCCTCAAGGGTTTCATTCAAAAATGTATGGGCCTTAAAAAGAGCTTTACCATGTATGCTAAATTCTTCTGTAACAAACAAAAAGTAAAACATGGAACGTTTAAAAAACTCTTCCAGTATGTCAGGCTGCGTCAATTCGCTATCTATAATCTCTACTCTGTAATATTTCTTTAATTTCTCTATATCTTTTTTCAAAATTAATGCAGAGTCTTCATCGTTTTGAGCACAGATAATTAGAATGTCAATATTGTCTTTATTCAAGGGGGGAGGCATAAATGCTACATATTCATCATATCTATGGTTATTTTTTATGCCTTTTACATTTTGAATTGAGCTGTTACTGTTAGGTGCTGAACTGCCTGGTGAAGATCTGACAGCAAGTGATGGGGCCTCTCCTTGAGCATCTGTTTCATTATCATTATTACTTGATGCCATTATTACTTCCAAAATTAATTGATTATCTGAAATCAGTACAACTGAAAAAGGGGCAAAGATTAGAGAGAGTAACACAAAAATTTCAATTTTATTTTAATCCTCCTGAATAAGAAGTAATGGACGGTTCTTCAATTCTATTAAAAATGTGGGTCCTGTGTCAATTTGCTTTAATAATATAAAACGTGGTCACAAGGGACTTTGCTACCGTACTCAAAATGGGAATCTGTGGCCTAGTCTAATGGCTTAAACAGAGCTCCAAAATGTGTTGGCATCTGGAGATAAGAACCAGGCCTTAAGTAGCTAGTGATGGTAGCTGTAAAATTCTTTAAAGTACCGGTATGTCATTTATACCGTATATGTTTGAAATTTTCTTCCTTGTGACCACATATGAAGAAAATTTCAGGTTTTAACCTCTTTCTTTATTAATTTTTGCTATTTTCGTTTCAAAATATCAATAATAATATGTATTGCGTCTATACGGAGGGGTCAATAGGGTGGTGCAGATAGGACTCGGTGACACACTCCGTTACCGGTACCCGGGTAGCAGAAACAAATATAGAACCAGACATTGACCATTTCATTAGCCAAAAGCAGGCCCATTCTTCCAATTGAAATAGTTATAACTTTATATTGTTCTTCATATTAATTATTGTATTATGTTTTGAGAAACCCTTCTCTAAACTAAGTGGCTTATGATCTAGCTGCATTCACTTCAGAAAAGAAAATCATGAAAAATAAGCTATGTCCATTTTCTGTATATATTGTCTTTTTAAATAACTGCAAACGTCTCTGTTTTGTTTATAATAAAAATCTTTTTTATGTTCTGTTTTCACAAGGTTCAAGGTACCCCCACCCAAGTGATGACGCCCTTGACCGTTGTTAAGTTTATTACTGAATAAGAATGGGACTTTCTCAAATATCTCCAAATTCAGGAAAAAAAGCAGTGCACACACATAGCGGGAATCAAATAGTATAAATTTACCGAAAATTTATTCATCTACAAAAGACAGAATGGTATATTACTAATTACTAATAAAATATGCTAATAATTAAGGAAACAGCAACTGAATTTGGGAAAATGCGAACTATATTTAATTCAGCCACACACAGTTTTTCAATGCCGTTGTCACTAATCATTTAATTCAACTAATTGTGAGTCTTTCCGTTTTTTTTTTCTTTTTTTCTAGGAACCCTATTTCAATTTAATTTTAACAGGTTGATTAAACTGTATGAAATTTAATTATAATTGGTCTTGAATATTATATCATATCTTTAAAAATGTACCAAATGAAAGCCGTTAAACTATTGAAAACATCTATAATAAGTTATAACCTTTAAAAATTTTCTTACGTTTACAATTTTTCATACGAGGGTAATAGTATTAGTATAGTATTGTATACTATGATCACATTAATGAAGGTATAGACCATAGACCTAATTTCATTTTTATTTATTAGACTACTTCTTATAATTAATAATGTAGGTATGACTAGTATGAGGGACTGCGTTCAAGCTAGATGCCTTTTTTTAGTAAAAAAATACAAAATAGTAAATGGGCAGTTTGGGTGCATATATTATTTCATAACAAATTACATATTTTCGCATATAAACTTATCATGACTTGTTTATTCTTTATTAAATTAGCTCCATACATGTAAGTAACACTAAATTGTACAGGACTAACTTTTATTTTTATTTGATAAAGTGTCTTCAGTTTCAAAATTTCATTTAGCATACAACCTTATTGGTGAAAAAATCTAGAAAATATATAGGCATATAGGGTGAAAAAGAAAGTTGAGTCTCACTGGAGAGAGCTCAAAGATTTGATTCAAATAAAAAGAAAATTTAGCAATGTACAATTTAGATTTAGTGTTAGTTAACCATTTCTACCTGGAGCTCATTTGGTAAAAATATACGCAAGTTTACATGCTAAAATAGGAAATTCGTAAATACCGTAAAAGAAATAATATCCGCACATTCCTCTTTCTGCCTGTTGCTAGACTAGTTAGGCGACTTTGGTATCAACCGGAATCATGTGAAAAACAGGTATTGTAATTTCATTGTCAATATGGCAATTTACCAATTTAGTGTAACGTTTTGGCTTTTATAGTCAATTTTTAGCAGAATATTAAATTCTACATCTGCCCATTACTTAAAGCTGACATATTGATTGTTCTAATGAGAATTCATTTGTTTTTTTGTGGGTTTTTTCGAGGTTAAAGCTTTGTAAATTGAAGTTAAATGCTGATCAATAACTTTTAATTTTATAGGTTCATTGGCACTCCTCAGAAAAGTGGTCCCAAATCAAAAATAGAATACTACTCGTTTGAAAGTGTCCGGCTACCAGCATAATAGCCGCCGAAAATTGGTTAAATTATTTGTTTAAGTGTAATAAAAATTCTCTAAATTAATTCTTTTTTTTAAATGAAGATAGTGATCTTCAACTTCATCAGCCTTTTCATCGTCATCATCTTCTCCTAAAGAAAATTGTTGTTTTTTTTTTTAAAGAAGAAGAAAAATGAAGAAAATGCAAGAGAGATGGTGGCTATAATAATTATAGAGCTGGTAATCGGACACTTTTTTATACTTATAAACAGTACTCAATTTTTAATTTGGGACTGCCATTCTGAGGAGTGCCAGTTCATTTATAACATATCCAAAATTCATGTCATGAGTTTAGACCAAAAGAAAGTTTCAAAAACGAAAATGTGAGAGGTCACATTTTTAGGCTATGTAATTTGGTAAAATTTGGAGAGATGTTGCCACATGGCTGCCATCTTGATTGACACGACCAGTTAATTCTGTCACTAAACCTAAACTAAATCAGCCAATCATTCTATCCCTAAATCTAACCTGAACCCTAAATGTATTCCTCAACCTAACCTGAACCCTAATTGGCTAATGTAAAGCACAAATGCCACCGCGTCATTTGCTTGTTTATATTATAGTTGCAGTGAATTTAGGTTAGGCATAGGAATAGGGATCGATTTAGGGTTCAGGTTAGGCATAGGGATCGATTTATGGTTCAGGTTCGGCATAGGGATCGATTTAGGGTTCAGGTTAGGCATCATAGGGATCGATTTAGGGTTCAGGTTAGGCATAGGGATCGATTTAGGGTTCAGGTTAGGGATAGGATATTTAGTGTTCAGGTTAGCATAGGGATCGATTTAGGGCATTAGTCGCGGCCATCGATAAAAATAGTGGGATTTGTCCTTTACATTTACCCCTAATTTACTGCAACTATAATAAACACGCAAATGACGTCATGGCGACATCTCTCCAAATTTTTCGTGATAGTGATGGGCACCATGTTTGTGTGCTTAGATTACCTATTATCGAAAGCGGATGAGGAGTAGTTAATAATTCATTACTCATATTCAGTCATGGGTTACCCAGAATATACATGGGAAATATAACTAATAATAAATCATTATAAATAAATAAAAAATCTGTGTTTTATAACATAAATTAAAGGTAAACTACCACTTGAGCGTCGGCCAAGAAAACATCAAAATGTTCCGAGTTCCGGTTGGAAGGGCTATTTAAACAATTATTTTTATTTGGAAGGGCTATTTAAACAGTTATTTTTATATTGACATCCGTTGATGGCTTCGCTCCCATAGAAAAGTTATTTAGCTCAATACATTAAAAAAAAAATTATAACTACTAAGCTACCGATGGGACAGTAAGAAAAAGAGGAGAGACTACAATAGTGTTTAATTCTGATCAGATACCAAAAGAAGAACTATGGTGGCTGTCCACACTACTACGGAATTTGTGCACTACGATGGTGCATCAACACAAATTTTTTGATCCAGATGACACTGATGTCCACACACACAATGTGGAAAACATGTTGATGCGTGCAAAGCGCAAACTGAAAAGACAGCAGACAGAGTTTGGCACAAGACGCGATCTTTTCCCTCCATAAGTACATGAATTCATGTTCCGCAATCGTTTTCGTGGAAATGATATTATTTTAAAAGGGAAGCGTTATATGCAGTCGACTGCGCATAACCCTGAAAGTTATTCCCAGCCGACTGCGTATAACTCTCAGGGTTATACGCAGTCGGCTGGGAATTTAGCCAAATAATGTTTATTACCGCTAGTTTGGCAATTTCAAAAAAGTATTATGCGTAATGAGCCGCATGATGGGTTGTTTTGAACTAGAACTTTTAATGTGTTTAACGTAAGACGTAAAATTTTAATTGAATTAATTTTAATTAATTTTGAATAATAGCAATAGTATTAGTGCTATTATTATTATTAGTATTATTGCTTGTATCTTATAAATTATCATTATAAGTCTAATTCAAAGTCTAAATTTCTTAGGGTCTAAGACTAAGAAGATGATTATGCCTTAAGGCAGCGGTTCTCATCCTGTGGGTGGTCAAATGACCATTTCCCAGGGGTCGCCTAAGACCATCGGAAAACACACACGCTCAAAAGTTACGAAGCAGCAACGAAAATAATTGTGTGTTTGGGGGTCACCACAACGTAAGAAACTATATTAAAGGGTCGCGGCATTGGAAAGGTTGAGAACCACTGCCTTAAGGCATCTCCTTGGTTTAAGTCTAGTTCTGTATTCTGATTGATTAGGTTTTTATATGTTGCTATGACTATGTGGTTGGTTTCACTGACTAATTCAGGAAATACATTCTATTTATTTATTTTTATTTTTTTTTTTTTTTTTTTTTTTTTGTGGGGGGTGGGGTGACCTAAATGTAACAGTTTTCAGCTTCCATGCAAAACTATAACTGTGTGAAAGTATTACTTACAGTGCCCCCTATACAGAATCCCCTTTCCCTACAGCTATTTCTTTCTGCTACTCTCCACCCCTGATTATAATTCTAATCATGTTTTAACATTTTTTAGCCAAAACAAAAGTGAAATAATTAACCGAGCTGTTGATTCATTCTCGAGAACAAACATAAAAACTAACACGAATCATCAGAGGCGTAGCGAGGGTGTTTGGGGCCCGGGGCCAAGATTCGCGCCCGGGTACAAGATCCATTTTAAAGCGCCCCTTTTTCTTTTTTTCAACTTTCAAACCCATTATTTTGATCAATAAAATAATATCAAAGCACATTTGGCGCCCCTAACTAGCTGGCGCCCGGGGACATCTGTCCCCCCTGCCCTCCCCTCGCTACGCCTCTGCGTATCATTCAATCTTGATTGGCCCTTGGCTGGAATTGAACTCCAAGGCACCAACGTCAGGTTTGCTCATTCGACCACCTAGTCATCTTGATAACGAGGCACCTTTATCGTAAGATACTGTAATACAGAATGTATATAGACCTCACGTGACTTGCCGACTGCGTATAACTCTCAGGGTTATACGCAGTCGCTGCATAAGTATAACCACTTCGGACTTCGATTTTAAAAACTTCATTGTCGCCTTGCCCTTGGCGGAGAACTATATGCATAATTTCATTTTCACACATTAAATTGTTAAAATTCTTCTATTTAAACAAAAATTGTTTAAGTTTTTCAATTTTTAAAAATTATATTGTGTTATTAATTGTATTAAAAGAATAACAATACCATAAACATAATATAATATAAGAATAATTGTTTAAATAGCCCTTCCAACCGGAACAATTCGATTTTTACTTGGCCGACGCTTTAGTACTTTAGTGGTAGATCACTTCTGATCGAATTTCGTATTATCGCATGTAATCTTACTTGAAATCTTCATGAAATTAAATCCAGGCAGTGATAGTTAACAATACTGAATTATAAAGCGGTTATTTTTATTTTATTTCTAAAGCGTCTTTGAGCATACCATAACCTTCCATAGTTCAATTTGTTTAGTTGTTTGTTTTTTTGGTCCACCCTGTTCCGGATTTTTTATCACCTATGAGTATGCTACACGAAATTTTCAAATTGTAGACAAAGAATAAATTACGGGGGGCGGGGGGGGGGTGAACGAAGTTAGATGTTCCGTTATTTTGTAGAGGCCCAAAATTCTATTTTTTTCTTATATGGGTTTTATACAAATTATTCGGAAAAAAAAAAAAAAAAAAAAAAAATGTTCCGTTATTTTTTAGAGGCCTAAAATTTTATTTTTTTCTTATATGGGTTTAAAAAAAATTAATCGGAAAAAAAAAAAAAAAAAAAGGCTCCGGCATTAGCATGGGTGAATGGGAGGAAATTAAACTTAGTACACATAAACTTGATTATCCATATTAAAAAAACTGGTACTGAAGGGTAATGAACTCATTATTTTATTTTTTCCTAAAACTAGCCAATATACTCGCCAATTTTATATAAATTTATTTTGTGAACATGCATTTAGTTTGAAAACTTAAGAATCAATAAATTAGAATAAATAATTTTTGTATAATTTATTATAAAGTCAAATTTTCTGTTTCGTTTTTTGTGAATATGCTCAGTTGAAAAATTGCAATCTGGCATGTGAGGTGAATTTTTTTTTTTTAAACGAGAAAATGGAGAGATCGTTTACGCTATCGGCTATTACTCTGTGCCAATGGGGTCTGTAAAAATCAATAAAAAGAAAAGTTAGTGCTGTACAACTAAGTGTTATTGTTAACAAATACTATCTTATGTATATGTGTGTGATGCGAGGTGGGACACTAATGAAATAGGCCTACACCAGAAAGTTCCTCCCAAATTAATTCTCCATTATCATAGCTTAAGATATAAAGATAAACTATAATAAACGAAGTTGAAGGCTTAAAAAACGCTAAACACTACTGTTACGACTTTACTTTACTAGCTTGAGACCTTCATCAAATGGCTCGGCCTGCTTACGTTGTCTAGGGTGTATGAATCTCTCTCTCACATAAAACACACGGTCCAGTGTAACAATATAATAATTTATTGCATACTTTACAAAACAGGATACTGCTATTCAGTATACCATGGCGCGTGAAACACACATCAGTCCAACTACCAACTATCCACTCTCCTAGCACAACTACTCGACTAACTCTTGGCTGACAACTTTTGACGACTAACAATTATTCTCTTACTCTTCTACCTTTCTTCTCTGACCTCTCTGACCTCTAGCTAACACACATCCCCTTTTATATTACCACACAAAACAACTCAGCCTACGCTAACGTTCCACACCACGGACTAACTTCACGCTCTGACCTCACGAACAACAACTCACAAAACACTCTCACGATTCACGACTCCCCCTACCCAACATTCAAGTTCACAACACAGTAGTGATGTCACACACCAAAATGACATCACAAAATTGCAATAACAAAAAATGAACAGTCTTATCACTAGAATTCTAATATCAAGTACAAAATAAAACAATCTAGTTCACAACATTACAATGGCATTCATAGTCAGTGTTAACTACATCCTCGGGAAAACATCCTAAAGTAAAATTACATAAACACCATCAAAATAAACAATAACAATTCCATGTGTTCTAAAAATAAAACATGACACACCAACAAATTTGACCAAAGATAAGGGAAAAACTGACTTTAGAGAAAAAAAAATTGTCAACATCGGTAATCCTATGGACAGCCATTAATGGTCCAGCCAGTTAGTACACTCTATGAGGGCGGGATGTTCCGCTTGTCTGTCGCTTTCCAAAAAGCGTGTAAAGTTCTCCCCCCCCCCCCTTAACTTCAGCGTGTGGACTACGACCCCCGTAGCTCCATCTGAGGTCATTATATATACCAATGACTTCCACTTTGTTTACCTTACGTCCCCCTCTCGGGACTGCTCTTGACAAGTTCACGACCTCCACGTCGTGCTCACCGTAGCTTGTCCAGGTTCTGACACATTCAAAATCACAACACACACTTTCGTCACTCACAAAATCAACAACTGCCTCTTGCACTAAATCAACATCTCTTTCTAGTGACAAAGTTAATTTTCCCTGTTTTACATCAGCTAAACCCACAGTTCTTACATCATCTTGTGCACTAAAATTAGTGGCTTGTACAATACTAAAACCCATATCTTCCTTACTAAAATCTACATTATTCGAATGTTCCATCTCGACAAACTCTCCTGCGCAATATTCAAATTTTGATCACTCACAAAAACATCTGCCTGCTGCAAAAAATCAAAATCTTTTTCCAGTAATAAATTTAAATTTCCCTGTTGTATATTATCCAACTCTACAATTTGTACATTATCATAAGCACAAGCTGTATCAAAATCAAAAATCTTATTTTCATTACTAAGCACTACATCAGAATCATCTTGTTCATCAAGACAGTTACTATTATTAAAGTGTGGAACATCACTAACACTGGGCTCATGTTTAATCTCCATATCAAAATCACCATGTGAAATTATATCACTGTGTATACACACAACACCCGCACCAAAAAACTCTATTTCGCCTTGTACCTTTACATAGTGTGCCTCAAATATGCTTACCTCCTCCCTCATAACTATAACAAAAACTCCTCGCCCCTACATTCAGTTATGCTTGCCTTAATGTCATCGAGATAGTTGATCTCCTCCACAAAATCTGAAATTTTCTCAGTTACCTCTTTTTCCTCTGCTAACAAAATAACTTTACGCTCC